TAAATAAAAAAGCTCCAGAGCTCTTTCATAAAGCCAGGGCACTGGCTTTAAAAAAACATTTTAAAAAGAGAATACAATACTAAAAAATTTAAAGTATATTTGTTTAATTTTATTAAACAAATTAATAATATAAAATTCTCATGACAGACAGGAAACTGGCTTTAAAAATATTTTCAAGTTAATCAATTTTGACCAATGCAAGTTATTTTAATGTATATATTGTGAAACGCATCTACTTTTTCATTTAATTGTTATGTTTTTTATGTTCAATATTTATGTAAATCAAAATATGATTTTATTATATAATTATGTTTTGTACGGTTTAATTGAGGAGCTTTTAATCAAAACCAAATTTGTCCACTTCTGGCAAATAATTATTACTACTTAAGTAGTGACCATTGTAGAGGAGGATCATTCACACATACATATAACCACTTCAAAGACCATTATTTTAAATGGGACTTAAAAATTATCATCTTAAATGAAATTTGGTCATAACCAAACATGTTTGTTCTCTAAATTCAATTCTACAAATTCTAAAAGGTTTCTGAATACAGTGGCTTACTGCCTATAGGCATGTTAGAAAAACTAACAGGATGTCTTATATAACAACAATTTAATGTATTTTTATGTTTTTACGCTCCCCTGAAAATTTGATCAAATGGATAAATTTGTTTTTGACCACTCACTCCTGAATTATTTATTTTATGTTTATTATTTGTATGGCCTAAGATAGTATTTTACTGTTTATGTAATATTTATATTGAAAAATATATGTTAAAATATTTTAATTATTTTATTTATGACCTAACAATGATTATATTTAAATATAAATGTATTTTAAGAGCCATTTTACAATTTGGAAAAAAAGCAATGCAAAGCCTTGTTCAGTGCAAGAACCAGTTAACTATTTTAAAATGTAAAACATTTTAGTGGAAATTCAATTCTACAAATTCTAAAAGGTTTCTGAATACAGTGGCTTACTGCCTATAGGCATGTTAGAAAAACTAACAGGATGTCTTATATAACAACAATTTAATGTATTTTTATGTTTTTACGCTCCCCTGAAAATTTGATCAAATGGATAAATTTGTTTTTGACCACTCACTCCTGAATTATTTATTTTATGTTTATTATTTGTATGGCCTAAGATAGTATTTTACTGTTTATGTAATATTTATATTGAAAAATATATGTTAAAATATTTTAATTATTTCATTTATGACCTAACAATGATTATATTTAAATATAAATGTATTTTAAGAGCCATTTTACAATTTGGAAAAAAAGCAATGTAAAGCCTTGTTCAGTGCAAGAACCAGTTAACTATTTTAAAATGTAAAACATTTTAGTGGAAATTGAGTTATCTAGTTCTTGCACTGTACTCTGCCAATTACAAAATAATATATATTTTTAAATATTGGCGGGCGATTTTGGCAACGTTGCATTTTAATTACTTCAATTTTAATAGATGGCGCTTTATTGCATCAAAACGTTTTCAGGAAGTTACGTATCTATTGGTGTGGTCTAGGGGTGATCCTTAGGACTATCGCGAGAACCTAAGAGTCCGGTCATGTTGTTTCGCGCTGTAACGTAATTGAAGGTTCTCCTAAATGAATTAGAAGAGCGCAAATAATATATAAAAATATATAGTATAGTATAAGGCAATTTGCACGCAAACTGGATGTTTTTCCTTCTACAGGTTATGATTGACGATCGACAAAAATTCTTTCCGGTGCCCCAACGGGTTTAAAAATTCTTAATTTTAAACAAAATACAAAATTTTTAATGCTGGGACAAAATTTTGTAATTATTTTTTTTGAAATATAATAATGCTCATAAGTTGCCTTTTTTGTCAAATATGCAACCCCTTAAAATTTGAAAGCCATACGAAAATTCTTTCCGGTGCCCCTTCGGGTCCTAAAATTAACAATTGTTTAACGAAATACGACATTTTAAATGCTTGTAGAAAATATAATATAATATAATACGTTAAATTGTGGTAATAAATGCAGCTTCGGTTAAAAAGTGGAATTCTAATGCAAGCGCCTCCTAGCGGAACGCTGCCAAAATAACTAATCTGTCAACTAGGTAGATGGCGCTCGAGCCGTATTTCATATCGATATATGTAAGAATGTTGGCTTGGTCTCACAACGAAGTACAACAAATATAGTAGATAAAATGAAAGTTCGAATACAAAGACAAAGACATTGTAGAGAAAGAAACAAAAAATATGTTATCCTTAAATGGACTATTCTTTGATGATCGAAAAGACAAAACTTTAGTTTTGGAAGTTAAAGGAAACAGGTCGCATCCTAAAACCAAGACAGAAGAACATTATCTGAATATATGGGACTCGTAACACCCTTATCTGGATCTGCTGCAAATATAAAATTATGTATTGTCAGCTATTTATAAAAATATCAGATTGATAAAACAAAGATTTTGGTTATTGAAAGTGATGGAACAGTGGTAAATACGGGACAGAAGGGTGGAGTTTTGAAACTGCTAGAGGAATACTGTGGTAGACCATAACAATGCCTTAATTTTTAATTGCATGGAAACGAACTTGCCTTCGTTTTATTGCTTAATACCAATATTATTAATTATTAAGTATACGTTCCTCCTAAACTCTTCACATGTAGAACCTAAGCGATCCCTAAAGCTCACACACTTATGCACATACATGTAGTAAGTAGTTTTACTGTGTCATGCAGTGCTCGACAAAGAGCTGATGATAAACTAGTAGCTTTGTACCTTTAAATATTTATATTTTAACTTGATAAAACCTAAACAGTTTAGTTAGGTTCCTAGTATGTTTTTGCACCAGGGCCTTTAGTTACCTAGCTACGCGTCTGATTGTTATTATTGTTATTATTAAAAATAATATCGAATTTAATAATAATAAGTAGTCCTTCAGCCGTATCGAATTTAATTTATTAAAATTATTTTAATTTGTTATAAAATAAATATATTAATATGTTTATATAAAAATTTTGGTTTTTCTAGTTGTGCTGCAAGATTAGTTTTTCGTACTTTATTGTAGGGCCTAGGCTTGAATTTATTGGTACATTTTTTGTATATTTTGCACATTTTGATCAAGTTAGTCCCCGTCAAAATCGAAATTAACGTAAATTCTGCGTAAATTCGATCGATGGCAGGGAAAGAGTGTATCGACGTCCAGGAGAACAACATCAACAATTTAATTTTACTCCTTCTGTCTCTTTCGGTGAAGGGTCAATTATGGTGTGGGGCGGCATATGTTTAGGGGCCCGCACGGAGTTGGTGGTGATTGATGACGGCGCATTAACTGCAGATAGGTACATAAGAGATGTTCTGCAAGATCATGTAGTAGTACTACAGTAGTACCATGTGCTCCACATATTGGAGACAATTTTCTCCTAATGCAAGACAATGCTCGCCCGCACGTGGCTCATTGTGTAACTGACTTTTTAAATCAAATGGAAATACCGACAATGAAGTGGCCAGCTGCTCCCCGGACTTAAATCCTATAGAACATGTATGGGACATACTAGGTAGACGACTTAGATTAAGAATTTCTGCTGTTCAAAACAGAGAAGTGGTAAAAGATACTTTAATTGAAATATGGGAAAATTTACCTCAAGAAATGATCGATAACGTCATCAGAAGTATGGGAAGACGGATGACTGCAGTCATAAGAGCTCGTGGAGGAAACACATGTTATTGAAAACAATAATCCTTATTATTTTTCCTGATCATTAAATGTTTTAAACAAATTTAAATAGGCTTCAAAGGGATATGAAGCTTGCAAAAGAAACTAAGCTATTAGTCAAATTTTTTCAAGAGATTTCGTTCAAATTTATTCGAAGAAAAACAAGTTATGGAAAAAAATAGAAACTTATCTCCGTTCCTTTAAATTTGCCGGTGTGTATAGTAAGAAAGTGGGGAAAAGTGGATAGTCAAAAGCTGTAGTTATTTAAAGTAATGTAACTAAATGTAAGAAAGTTCCTTAAAACATGTGACGAAATTGAAAGAGTTATTAAGTAGAAGAGAACCCAATGTCTTACACCAGATCACTGTTGTTAATATTCAACATAAAATCTAGAAAGGTATTTAGCAAACAGCTTGAAGCTATAATAACAACAAATACCCTCTTGAAACAGTCCAAAGGCGCGTACAGAACAGAATTTTTTGTTGGGCCGTGGTGTTGCGGTATGGCAACAAAATACAACGTAACAAAACATCGCTATGTATTATTTTTAATAACATTTTGCCATTCCATTTTAGAATACTATAGTTATTATAATAAATATCATAATTCATGCCCGTTCAGACTGGCAAAAATGGCCTGCAACAAAGTGACGGCTAAATACCGACTGATGGGACGTATTCTGTTCTTTGTCTGTACGCGCCCTAAAAAGTCTAGAATGGTGAATGCAATGGGTTTTAAATTATTAAAAATACGACAATAATAGTTCAAAGCAGTAAAAAGAGCCGAATTTTGCAGTACCGCTAACGGGGGACATTTGCGTGACATATAATTTATTTTACTTAATTGTTACAATAAACAAATCAAAGTTATTTTTAAAGATTTATATAATTACTTTTCAATATTCTCAGATACCGTATTATCACAACTATCTCTAAAGAATAACATGATAAAATACAAAATAAAAACAAGGGAGGGGAGGGGCGAACTTGACCGACCCGAAGTAACACAGTCCTTTTTAAATGGTTTTATGAACTTTATCAAAAGATTTTTAAAAGAACAATATTCTATCGTCTCCCAAAAATATTTAAAGATCCTTCAAGTTTAACATAGACGAGATCTCTCGGTATTGGATGCGGTTTTTTTGCTTTTACAATGTTTTTTTCATTTTTGCAACTCAATCGCTGTCGGCACGCCCCCTTTTCTCTCTGGCGCGAGTTCTTGGACACCCAATTTATGACGTCGCAAAAATTGAGCTGTCATTTAAAATAAACTTTTATTTACATATTTTCATTTGCAATTATCTTACCATTATTCCAGTAGTTGCCTGAAAACTTGATGAAACAGAGGAATCACTTTCGCTTATAGAACTATTTCTTTTTTTAGGAGAACCATTCGCTGCTTTTAACATACCAATTGTAAATTGTTGTTTAACATTATCAACTTCTTCTATGAAAGGTATTTCCTCATCAACAGTATATGGATGTGATATATTTTGCGTTTGGACAGGAATTGTTAAACTTGCTTTTAACATACCACTATTGTTTAAGATATATGGGGAAGAGTTTCTTCGTTCTAAATGAGACCTTAATAATTCGTTATCACTTTGAATAGAACTATTACTTCCAATGGACGGTGACCGGTTTTTTCCTAATTGATATTCATCATCTTGTTGCCCACAAAGGGTGGAAATCAATGGTATAACTTTAGATTCGCCATTATACCTTTTTCTCGATGCTAAATCTTCCCTTTTTTCTTTAATTCTGTCCTTGTACCTATAAAAATGTTTGTATTAGTACCTATAAAAATGTTTGTATTAGCTTTGTCAACTTAAAAAATAAAATCCAATTACCTTAACCTCATACCAATATTAGGACCTCCAGTAGCAGCTGCTTCATGTAGGAATTCTTCTCGGGAATATGTTCTCTTAGTATCAGATATATTAGGATGATCCTCATCGTTTTTCCATTTTTCGATGAATAAATCATTTGAAGGCGTTGTAGGGGACCAAAGATTTAAACTACTTTCACTATCCAATTCATCTAAAGAGCTAAAAATAATAGTGTTTTAAAATATGTTTTATATTTTATGTCTATTAAACCTCAAGATTAAAATAAGTGAATTTTAAGAAAAGCATATTAGATAACATTATTATTTTTTTAATGCGTGAACAAAATTTTGGGTTATAATTTAAAATATGTCAAATAGTATACGTTATTTTCTTTTGTATAATAAAGAAACTACCAACACTGTATAAAATGTAACTTTTACTGCATTTTATAAATGTATATATTTGAAGGTACCTTGTAGGTACCTACAAGTATATATTGATTCTACAGCTTTAGCAGAATCAAAGGTTAAGGTCCTAAAGGCAGCATAAGTGCACGAACTTCAACCTCCCACGTATAATAAAACAACCCCGTGGACACTGTTCAGGAAGCAGTTTGAGGCTACTGCAGCACTGAAGAATTTCTCAAAAAAATGGCTGCGACAAACTTTATTATGGTCATTGGGATTTAGAGATTCAAAGATATTTATATTTGATATAGAAGCAGTCTTTATATTCACCGGACCAAAAAATATGAAGTACGAACACATATTTAAGGGATTGAAAAATATTATTTAGAACGACAAGGAACAAGTTCTGCCGTACAAACAAAATTGCTAGTGTGGTAAACAAAATTTAGGGTTTTGATATATGGGGCAAAACTCGCCAAGTGTTCCCACTAAAAACTTAAGTTGTTTCCGATTTTGATGAAACTTTGCTAAATCATTGTCCTATCGGACTACTTTAATTAAGCAAAAGAGCAGCGGAAAAGAATGACGGGTTGAAGATATACATGGGCTCGACAAATAATATATCCTATATCTTTTTTTTCGTGCTTTAAGATAGAGGTGGTTTCAAAAGCAAAACAAAATTTTTTGGCTAAGAAAAATTGATATAAAAAATATTTTTATTTTTTTCTCAAAATGGGACCATTTATATTTTTTAAAAATAAGTGTTAAAAAAGCCTATTCTTTTCCCAAAATTTTGATATAATATATATTATATATTTAAATTTGATCTCTAAATCAGAAAATAACAGCGTTAAAACACACAGGGATCGGGCATCGACTGGCTCTGTTCGATGCGCTAAGTAAATAACTGATAGGTAAAGGGTCTCACAATTTTTTTTCAATCATTGGTACATCGGTAGTTTATTATTTAAGTGTTAATTAATCTAAATTGTACACGAAAAATAAACTCCTATTTAATAACCTTTTCCATTTTGAATATTTGCATGTCCTACAAAATAATACTATAATTTAATAATTAAAATTTTAAAATGTATTTATAACTTAAAACATTATAACTTAAAACAATTTAGTTATAACTTAAAACATTTAAACATAAACTATTTTACTTTTTTAGGACAGTACAGTACAGTACTTCTTTTTCGGCCGGAACGAATGAATGGTATTTTTGTGACCCTGAAACTCCTTTTGCAGCACTAAATCGCTGTTTTAAAAAATCAGCTGTTCTAATATGCTAAATTCTAAAATTTAATTAACCTTGCCTTGCCCAGTGTTATTAATTAGGTGTTTATTTTTTGTGTACAATTTACATTAATTAACACTTACATAATAAGCTACCGATGTACCAATGAAAAAAAATTGTGAGACCCCCCAGTAAGCACCAAACACTCGGCAAACAGTCGGCCTTTGCTCCGCATAGGCGGTTGACCGGCGCACAGTGGTCCAGAATCCAAAAAACCTGGTCATAAGTCGAAGATGTCGTCAAATCTGCACAAAATTTGGCATACGGGGGTTTTTAAGGTCGCTGATTACGAATATGATACCAAAATTTGCAAAAACAAAATGGCGGACAATTTTTTGAAAAATCCGATTGATTTTTCTGAAAACCTATACATGAGGGTTTTCGAGGTCGCTGATTACCAATTTAATATAAAAATCACCAAAAACAAAATGGCGGATCCAAAATGGCGGACAATTTTTCAAAAAATCAGAATGATTCGTCCGAAAAGTACTACATGGGGGTTTTAGAGGTCGCTTATTACGAATTGAATATTGAAATCACCCAAAACAAAATGGCGGATCCAAAATGGCAGAATTTTTTTTTATAAATTCGTTTGATTCCTATGAAAAGTAATACATGGGGGTTTTCGGGTCGCTGATTACGAATTTAATATCAACATTCTCAAAAAAAAAATGGTGGATTCATAATGGCGCGCACAGTGGTCCAGAAATCGGAAAAACTGGTCAACATGTGAGTGCATGGTTCAATTCGCATGAAAATTTTTAATTAGGGGTTTTTAAGGTCGTTGATCACGATTCTGCATTTAGTTTGAGAAAAAACAAAATGGCAGATGCAATATGGCAGACTAGATTGTAAACAAGTGGTTCGATTTACGAGGATATTCAGTATAAGGATATATGTAGGGTCCAAAATTACGAATCCGGTATTTATATTATTGGAAAAAATTACGCAAATTTTATGATGTTGAGAACACATACGGAAAAGTACAATGCACGCAGAAATTTTCATGTAAGATATGTCCAGGTCATAATAAGTAGTCAGAGAAGTTATTTTACACTAATGTATTTTTTTTCGGCACACAAACACTGCTTTTTTACAATTGAGAATTGGACAAAAGTTTGAAGCATACAACTAACTTTAATCTACATACATTTACATATTTTACTATACGAATATGATAAAAACAATTAAGAACTATTCGCTTTCGCTTGATTAATAATCATCACAATCACTGATATTATCGTCTTGTTCAAGTTTTTCCTCAACTGGCATATCTAACAAGGACATTGCGTCAGTTGACAATTGTTTGTTTATTTTTTCTTTCAAATTTTTATCGCTGATCGCATAAATGACAGGGTCTGACTTTACAAAGAGGCGCAAAAAAATATCCTCTATAGTTTTTTTTCTACTGCATTTCCGCGCGAAATCTTGGCGAGTTTTTTTTATCACTTTGTTGCAAGATTCCTGTGCCTTTTCTGACATTTGTCCTATAGGCAACAGAGACTGTTCTATTATTCTATGTCCCTGAACCAATATTTTGTGGACCGAAGTTGGCATATTATACCAAGGATATAAGTGTACAAATTGACGGGATGTTGCAATGGCGTACTCTTCGAATTTTGAGATATTAATGTCTAAACCGCATGAAATTGTTTGTAAAATGTGAAACCGTTTTATTAAATGTTCGTCGATGCCCGTTATTTGTGAAAAAAATCGAAGAATTTTGGAAAAAAACGCCGAGCGGTGTTCCCGTCATTTGTACTGCCATATCCTTGTTTCGGAAGATCTACCAAAAGCCCTAATTTCAGGCGGAATTCTTTCTGTATTTCTCTCTTTCGACTCTCAACTATTTTTTTGTCGTCGTCACCGCGAGCTTGCCATTTTTGTAGACCTAATTTATTTGACAGGTGTAGAAGACATTCAAAAAAACGTATCCAAGCGTGTAAACTCGAAATACCAAACTGCCAAAAGCTATTGTAAAAGTCGCATGTATTTTTTTGTTGTGTATCGTTTTTGTGTAAGGTTGGAGATCTTTTTCTTGATTTTGAATGTTGTCAACGATATTTTTTGTAGCTTCTACACTTTCACGCAAAAATTCAATAATGATTGGTCTGCAAAATCGAGCTGAAGAGGGTCGTGGATTTTTCCAAATAATGACATGTTCATTGACAGTTGTATCGAAAAATGTGAGTTGAAGTGGAACTAACGACGTGAAAAAAATGTTTTCGTCGGTTTTTTTTTTTCATCATCATCTTCGAAAATTTGTTTATATCTACTTTGTCCGGAAGTTCCATCGCAACCCCATTTTGAAATCAAATGCAAATTATTCACTTCATTAGATGAAAAGTTGTCCAAGAAATTCGTCTGGGATAAAAGTATTCGTTCGATCGTGATATTTAAAAGAGCTTGCAATTTAACTTCTGCTTTCATTTCGGATAAAAATATGTCAGATTCATTTGGATAACAATGTTTTTAGCAGCTACAATTTCATTATAAGGTGGATAAAGTTTGGGATTTTTGTCTCTATTTGCAAATCGTATTCCACAATATTGACTTTTAGATAAATTATTATCGATTAAAAGTGCAAGAGCTTCATCATTAGAGAACAATTTTTCACCCTGTTTTTCGAATGATTTTCGATACCTAGTCGCTTTTGATGGACTCCCCAGAATAACGTCCTTGATGACTTTGGCTGCGTTGGATTTTCCTTCGGCTCGCAAACTCATTTGCGTGGCAAACCCCAGTTCTTCGTGGCTGTATTTTTCCCGAATTTCTTCTGTCCTTCTTCGCTTTGTTCGGTCACTAGAATCTCGGAAAGATCCATCATCATTAGGAGCACATTCGTTATCTCCAACGAAGCAGAATGATGTGCCCAGCCATTCGTCGTTGTATTTGACGAATATATCATGAGTCCTTTTGGCGTTTTGCCACTTTTTACTGATCGTGGATATTAGTGTCTTAATCGCGACTTGTATACTTGTTTTTGAACTCTTTTTCAATAAGCTCGTAAAGAGTCTTACAATCATCAGACAACTTTTCTCTAATTGCACCAGATTTCTTTTTTAGTCAATAAAATCGAGGAAAAATCTGCTGGATCTGGAATAATAGGAAACATGAAATTAAAAATGCATTCGTATATACGCATATAACTCGACGAAATTGTTGGTAAGAATAAAATTCAAGTTATCGAAAAAAAAATCGACATATCGTGCTACAAAAAAACGCAGAGTTGATATTTTATATATTTTGCCAATCTAAGAAAAAGGACCCAAGCGGATTCTGCCTCACTGGGTATTTACGATCACCGCATCGCGCCGCGCCCGCACCGCGGCGCGTAAATACGTTTTTCTACAAAATGATATCGCAAAGCTGTATTGGCAGCTTTTGGCAGCTAATTTTCACTTATGTTTGAACCGTTCGCATAACATTTTGGATATTCAAACTTCATAATACCTTGTAAAACTTTTATCTCAGCTCTTACTTTAGAAGAACTTGATGGATTTATCCGGAAATGTTTTTAATTGACGAATTTAAACTCAATATTATTTGAAAAAGACTTACTTATCGGAGGTGAATCCATTTTATCACATGTGAATGGTTCAATCCATCGAAATAATGTACACTGGCGGAGAAAACTTTTTTCTCGTCGAAACGCGCGTATCGTAGAGCGTTTTCCGACTGAGTGATTATAAGAGATAGAACTGGCTGTGAAAAAAACATCTGCCCCCACTAATGATCTTGAACAATCCCAGGGGTACCGCGACAACTATTTCAACTTTTGGCCAGCTTTTCCGATTTCTGGACCACTGTGCGGCGGTTCGGCTTGCCCCCAGTCGTCCCGCTTATGGCCCGCGTTATGTTAGCCCGGTACCGTTTGGACATGTTCTAACTAAAGTCGGCCAGAATAAGGCATGCCGCTGCAAACTCGTTCGGCTTGCCCTAGCCGACCCGCTTACGGCCGGAATACGGCCTGCCGCGGCATAAGCAGTACATCTCACGGCTGCTTACGTAAGCGAGCTAACTATAAATAGCGATGGGTTGCAATATTTAGTTGGAAGTGTGCGTCTGTAATGGCATAGCTAAACATTAATTGTTTGAAGTCCCCATCTCCATCCTCATCTGCTCAGTAACGAATAAGGTCTAGCTATAGTCGAGTGTGTTAAACCTATCCAGGACGTCTGAATGCTTTTTTTGAATTGCCAGGGTGTTGTGGCCGGCACTCGAGTGCTGTGTATAGTTAGCCGATCGGCCAACTATATACCGCCGACACTCGGCTGAGTAAACATAGCCGACATTCGGCCAGGCGGATATGCCCGGTCTACACGCCGGAACAAATACATGTGTCGGGCCGCACGCGGCCGATTCGGCAAAACGTATTCGGGCCGTATGCGGGCCGGCTAGCTTGTGGTTACTGGGCCTTTACCTATCAGTTATTATGCGGATCAAACAGAGCCAGTCTATGCCCGATCCCTGTGCGTTTTAACGTTTTAACAGGTTTCGAGATTTCATTTAAATATATACAGTGTGTCCGCGGATGGGGTCCCCAAGGGGGAAATAATCTTTATTATTTATTTTACGACCAAAAGTTCTGCTTGTTGAGAAAATGAATTAACGATAAAAAAATTTAAGATCAGATGTTTATAAATTAGGAAAATATGAAAATGCTTCAAGAGAGAAGTACCATTATTTATTATTTTTAACAAAAATTTGATAAATAAACTTGTTTATAAACTAGCATAAAGACTAAATACAAATTTTAAAATAAATATTCGAATATTTTAAAATGAAACAAAGTTGTTTATAAACTAAAATAAAATGAAACAAAGTTGTTCATAAACTGGCAAAATATGAAAATGCTTCGAAAGAGAAGTACCATTATTTATTATTTTTAACAAAAATTTTATAAAGCAAAGTTGTTTATAAACTAGCATAAAGACTAAATACAACTTTCAAAATAAAAATTCGAAAATTTTAAAGTTAAACAAAGTTGTTAATAAACTAAAATAAAATTAAACAAAGTTGTTTATAAACAAACATAAATACAAATTTTACAAAATATGAAAATTCTTTGAGAGAGAAGTATCATAATAATGCTAGTTTATAAACAACTTTGTTTTATAAAATTTTTGTTAATAATAATAAATAATGATATTATCATTATTTTTTATTATTAACAAAAATTTTATAAAACAAAGTTGTTTATAAACTAGTATAAATACTAAATACAAATTTCAAAATAAAAATACGAATATTTTAAAATTATTTTACATATCCACATATCCTTTTCCGCTAACTTAATAAATGTACCGTACACTTTACGATTGATTTGCGGCACATTCACTTCATGAATTGCTTTTGCTATACGCTCTTTTAATATTTCCCTATCATGTGGAAGATTATTTGGGTAAACCTTTTGTTTTAAGGAACCCCACAAAAAGAAGTCTAATAATGTAAGGTCAGGCGACCTAGCTGGATTGTAGTATACAATTGGGTTGAGGGGCAAAGTCAGTAATACATCACGTACCTTTTAACACCTTTATTGTTAGTACATCTTAACATCACGACTGGGGACCAACTCTGCTGTTGGTGACCTAGTTTGGTCTTACCTAGCACCAGTATTGACCAATCAGCAATACGTGTACGGGGACCTGTACTGACGTGGTCAATACCACGCACTACACCTAGGTGCACCTCCCCTTTCGAGATGAATGGACTATATTTTGACCTCAAATAAAGAAAATTTATAAAATGTTGGTTTTATACAAACACAAATTTATCCTAGATAACTAAACTTTACAACCACTAACTGACCTAAGATACAAGATAAAATTACGTGTTGGAGTAGTACTTTGCATTTTAGCGTTATTTTTATTTGGGGTCTTATTACACTCAATGTCATAACGTTTATCACTTGTCTAACAGCTACTTAATCACTTTTGTTTATTTACGCACTCACTTTCACTCCACTGTGCAATACTATACTATATTAATAACTTATATAATTTGCAAAAGTAAATACTTAACCTTGGTTTTTATTAAACGGTTTTATTCTATTTTTATGCACCGTTAAGTGTTTACCTTATATAAAACAGTACAATTAACTCCGTCACAACTTATAACTTGGTAAGGACCCTTATACCACGGATCAAATTTAGTTCTAGTGTCATTTCGAATCATAACGAAGTCTCCTGAATTAAACTGAAATATTTTTGAATTACGGTCATAATCAGATTTACGTTTGTACTTGGCTTTAAGAATAAAATCCCTGGCGCGTGTATTAGCTGTTTGCAGCCTATATCTTACTTCTTGGTAATATGCATCTAGGTTATACAGAGGATCAATGGAGTTATTCGTCAACGATTCTGGTACATTGGCACTAGCTCAAAAGGAGTGTAATTATTATATATGCTGGGTGTCGTGTTATAACAAAAACTGTAATAGTTTACCCACTCATCCCTCAGTATGAGAATCGTTAATGTACATTCCGATATATTCGTTAAGAACACGATGGTTTCTCTCACATCCTCCGATTGTCTCACTATTATAAGCTGTAGAAAACTTTTGGCTTATACCAAGTAGTTCAGATAATTTTTGCAAAATCTCATTTTTGTACTCAGTGCCTCTATCAGTCCTGATTTCTTTAATAGGCCCATATATTAGGATGAACTTTTCCAAAATTGCTTTTGCGACAGTTAAAGCCTCTTTGTTTAAAATTGGTATGACCACAATATATTTGGTTAATTCACACTGAAATCTTACCACATACGTGTTTCCACCTGCTGTTATTTTTAATGGACTGATCATGTCAATAGTAATTATGTCGAACGCCCTTTGTGGGGTTGGTGTTATTACCATTTGGCCTATTTTGCTTTTATTCAGTTGGCATTTTACACAACTTTTTACGTAATTCGATACGTCACGAGACATATCTTTCCATCTGTACCTCATTCTTAACTTCTTTAAAAGTTTTTTCTGTCCACTATGACCTCCTGTAAGTGGATTATCGTGAATTTTTTATAGCAGAATATTTTTATCTTTTCTATTGGTTATTAATTTCGGCTCGTCGTATAAAAATTGTTTTCCTTAGTATACCTTGTCCTATTTCTTTAAATTTATTTATTGTGCACATATTGAATATAGGATCGTTACTTTTTAATCTGACATCATTAAATTTATATTCACTTGCCAATTCATCTAGCTTAAACAAGAGTTTTTCTAATAAAACTTTGCCTTTAGTGATATTTTCTGATAATACTAGTTTCGATTCACCTCTAAATTTTCGTAGTTTTTCCACAATTATCCTAATATAATTGGGCGTAATCACAAATTTTAAGGTAGGTAATTTTACAACTGATAAGTAATCATTATTCACAATTTCTAAAATTTTTGGAATTTCCACTTTGTCACTTTTCTGTGAAAATGCTTTCACTTGGTTTTTTTGTCTTTGACCTCGTAATTGCTAATATTTGCTTAGCGTTTTCGGAAATTGATTTGAGTTCGCTTATCGTTATTCTGGATAGAGCGTCTGCTCCTACGTTTTCTTTTCCTTTTATGTATTCGACAATGAATTCATATTCCTCTAAATCCAATCGCATTCTTGTCAGTTTTGATGAAGGATTTTTCATTGCAAATAAATAAATAAGTGGCTTGTGATCTGATTTAACAATACATTTTTTACCATGTAGATACGGTCTGAAATGTCCAATAGCCCAATGTATAGCTGCTAATTCCTGTTCAATAGTGGCTTTGTTTGATTCGCCTGCCTTTTGTAAATGTTTTTGAAGCATAAGCAATATCAAAATATTGTGTAAGTACAGCTCCACATGCCTCTTTTGATGCATCTGTTTTCAAAATGAAGTCTTTACTGAAGTCTGGATATTGAAGAATTTTAGGACTTAACAAAGCCAATTCAGTTGTCCAAATAAAGGTAAAATTTTTCTTAGTTAATTTATTCAATGGTCTTGCTAGATCAGCAAAATTTGGAATAAATCGCCTATAATAATTGCAAAATGCTACAAATCTTTTG